CAGAGCAGTAGATTTATGGAACAGAATAGAGAATCAGGAGATGAACCCAGCTACTTATTGTCATTTGATCTTCAAAAATCCTATCAAAAATATTCAGTGGGGGAGAGACTCCCTATTTAACAAATGGTGCTGGGTGAACTGGCTGGCAACCTGTAGAAGACTGAAATTGAATCCCTACCATTCACCATTAACAAAAATTGATTCTCACTAGATAAAAGATTTTAACTTAAGACATAAAACTACAAAAATACTAGAAGAGAGTAAATGAAAAACACTTGAAGAAATTGGCCTGGGAGAATATTTTATGAGGAGGACCCTGCTGGGCATTTGAAGCAACACCAAAAACACATTATTGGGATCTGATCAAACTAAAAAGCTTTTGCACAGACAAGAGCACAGTAAGTAAAGCAAGCAGACAACCTTCAGAATGGGAGAAGATTTTTGCGGGTTATGCTTCTGACAAAGGTCTGATAACTAGACTCTACAGAGAACTCAAACTAATCGATAAGAAAAGAATAAATAACCCCATTTCTATGTGGGCAAGAGACTTGAACAGAAACTTCTTGATGAAGACAGGCACATGGCCTACAAACATATGAAAAAATGCTCATCATCCTTAATCATCAAAGAAATGCAAATGAAAACCACTTCAAGATACCATCTAACTCCAGTAAGATTAGCCCACATCACAAAATCCCAAAACTACAGATGTTGGCGTGGATGCGGAGAGAAGGGAAGGCTTCTACACTGCTGGTGGGAATGCAAACTAATATGACCTTTTTGGAAAAAAGTTTGGAGAACACTCAAGAAACTAAAAGTAAACCTACCATTCGATCCTGCGATTCCTCTACAAGGTATATACTCAGATGATCAAAAAGTATTTTACAACAAAGACATTTGCACCAAATGTTTATTGCAGCCCAATTCATAATAGGCAAGAAATGGAAACAGCCCAAGTACCCATCGACCCATGAATGGATTAACAAATTGTGGTATATGTACACCATGGCATACTATGGAGCCATAAAAAAGATGGAGACTTCACATCTTTTATGTTTACCTGGATGGAGCTGGAACATATTCTTCTTAGTAAAGTATCTCAAGAATGGGAAAAAAAGTATCCAATGTACTCAATATTACTATGAAATCAATATATAATCACCTACACACTCATATGAATGGCAAAACTATAGTCCAGAAAGTAGAAGGGAAGAGGAGAGAAAAGGGAGGGTAAGGAGGATACGGGAGGAGGGAAGGTATTTGGGGGGAACCTCACTTAATGTGCATGATGCAATGGTACATTTCAAAACTATTAAGAAATGAGTATAATTGTGACAGATGTTACTTAGTTCAATGTAAACATTTCACATGGTATATTGAAGCAGTATCCGAACCCCATAAATGCATCAATATACAAAGTTAGATTTAGTAAAAAATAATAATAATAAAAAGAATTCTGACTTTATCTTGGGAAAGTGGAAAATGAGTGAAGGTCTCTGTTTCCTGGAATGAAGTGATCAGATCAGTGATTTAGAGGGACATTCAGACTGTAAAGAGTGTGGGAAAGGATTTGGAAAGAACTGCCCCTCTGGAAGTGCAGGGAGCTGGTATCCACAATCCAGGGGTGGGGCACTGTGGGAAGGCAGGCAGTAGATGAAGCAGTCAAAGGACAGAAAGAAAAGGGCACTTCTACAAAACCTGGGACAGAAGCAAGAGAGCTTGCTAAGTGACAAAGAAATAGAACAAATTAGGTCAGAGGCCTAAAACTTTGATAAATGGCACCTTTAAAAGCAATGGATTTTTATTACTCATTCAAATCATGTCATAGCAAGGTTTTGTAACGAATTATTCAGAAAAGAATGAAGTATTTTCATTCTTTTAATAATAAAAATCCAGGCCAGGTGCAGTGACTCATACCTGTAATCCTAGCACTCCGGGAGACCGAGGAGGATAGATTGCCCTGAGCTCAGAGGTTTGAGACCAGCCTGAGCCAGAGACTCCGTCGCAACCAAAAAAAAAAAAAAAAAAAAAGCCGGGCATTTTGTCAGGGACCTGTAGTCCCAGCTACTTGGGCGGCTGAGGCAAGAGAATCACTTAAGCCCAAGAGTTGGAGGTTGCTATGAGCTATGATGCCACAGCAATCTACCAAGGGCCACAAAGTGAAATGCTGTAGCAATTAAAAAAAAAAAATAAACAAACAAATAAAGTAAATAAATAAATAAAACTAATAATGAAAATCCACCTGTAATCCTAGCACACTGAGAGGCCAAGGCAGGTGGATTGCTTGAGCTCAGGAGTCAAGACCAGCCTGAGCTACAGTGAGACCCCATAGCTGTGTGTTGTGGCAGGAGCCTGCAGTCCCAGCTACTCGAGAGGCTGAGGCAAGAGAATCACATGAGCCCAGGAGTTTGAGGTTGCCATGAGCTGTGATGCCATAGCACTCTACCCAGGGCAAAAAAGTAAGACTCTGTCACACACATACAAAAATAAATAATGATAATAAAAATCATAGACACACAAAGGAAATTTTCTTACTAAAATAAACTTCCTCTAAGCATAATGGAGTGGTCTATTGTAGATCTCAAGTAAAGATCTACAAAGATCTCAAGTTAATTAAAATAACTTTAATTAAGCTGCATGTTTTTCCTGTTGTGGACTAGTGGGCTGTGCTTTCACCAGGAGCCTTATAATTTGCTATTTGTGGGGTATGAAACCAATGCTGTAGCTGTGCCCACAGGCTCCTACTGTGCTGTTCTGAAATGGGAAGCTTCCAACTCTCCCAAGGTCTATTAAAAAGGGAGGGAGTGCCCCCACGGTCAGGCAGAGAGAAGGCCTGCCAGCCACTACAGAACCAAGAAAAAGAAACCTGCACAAGCCAACCAGGAGTGTAGAGTCACTCATATCACATATTCCTTTTTCCCACTTACTAATGTTTAGACAACAAACTTCATGAATTAAGTAACTGGCAGGGCAACCTCTTGATCATTTACCACTAAACTTTTTAGTTACTGCCCATCTTTCAAAATATTACTAAATTAAGCACCCCAAATTGAACTGACTTAGCACCAAAAATTCTAAGGCCAGACTTTGATTACACTGGACCTGTGATAAAATACCTCTTCCTTCAGGAGGATTTCATCTCCGGCCTCCAAGACTTCCCAGCTGAATTACAAATAGAGGAGACAGGGCCACTCTTGAAGATACAAACACAGGTCCCTTGTCTTCCATTTTTAGTAAGATGGACATTAAATAGAGCCACTTACGTCCTAGAAATCTTAATCCTGAAACAGTCCATTCTCATTTATCCCACCTTGCAACCAACAAGATGTTTTCAAGAACACTGAATTCAATCAGGGGAGCAAACTGTGACAATAAGCTGTTTTCTGCTGTGATGCCTGCTAGGGTTTCCCCTACTACTGTGATTAAGAAACTGAACCGGTGGCAAAAGGAAGAATTAAAAGGAAAACAAATCGTCACTGTACACACTCTGCTGATTTTATTTCACTGGGTGCTCAGATGTAATTTTTGCTATTTTAAACAGAGCAAAACTTCCTTGGAGACCACAGAGATGTCTAAGAACCGAGAAGAAGTAGACAGATAAATACCAAGATGGAAATCTCTTCAGCTCCTTAGGTGAAAACGAGAGACAATTTACAAACATTATACACCATCCAATAGCAAATCACCTACACTTCTTGCTAATACTCAGTTGATGAATTTGGAGTCCAGCACACAGAGCAGAGAAATAAGCATCCCTCAGAGCCTGCAGGCTCACAGAAATCTTAGGTCCAGATATGTGACCTTCTTCCAGCCAAGCACATAGGATCTCAGAGGAAGTACTTTTCAGACAACTGTATCTTATTCCTTTTGCCATCATCTTCCCTTCTAATTTCTTCCTTCCCTTAGGTCACCTCAACTTTTGGGGGTGGGGGGGAGAGGAGGGAGAAAGCACCTGTGCATGCTGCACACACAGATTGACAGAGAAAGACAGTAGCAACTAAGACAGTGGTGGGTCTGAGCTGCATTCCACCAGTGGAGCTGTAGAAGTAAAATAATTGGCTGAGTCTGCCTTTGACATCATGTCACTCTCTGACCCACATATTCATGTTTCCCAAAGCCCTAATCATGCTGTGCCACAGACCTGCCTTCCCCAGATATTCTTCTACACTCTAGAACACACTGCAAAATTCAGCCTGCTGACATTGTTTTGTGTCTGAATCAACTGTCACATGCAATCCAGATTTCTACCTTCTCGGGCAGCACCTGTGGCTCAAAGGAGTAGGGTGCCAGCCCCATATGCCAGAGGTGGCAGGTTCAAACCCAGCCCTACCCAAAAACCGCAAAAAAAAAAAAAAAAAAACCTGCCTGGCTGGATTTGCATAGCATGCTCCTGGGGATAGAGCCACCCTCCAGGCACTCCTGCCCCAGGTTCAAACCCAGCCCCCCCCAAAAACCGCAAAAAAAAAAAAAAAAAAAGTGAGAGCTTTCTTCAAAGGGCTAACCTCATTTCACAAGCTTCTCTTAAACACTTAGCAGACAAATAATCTGCTAATTCATTCTCTGACATAGTTCAGAGGTCTCTATAAACAGATTTCTACCTTCTCTTGAAAAATCTGAAAACAATTCTCCATTCCCAAATGGCGAGACTGGGGAGCTGAGAGATGGTACCGTGTTTGGTCAGGGCAGATGCCAGTCCCTACTATACCTGCATCATTTCTTTCACCTGCTCTTTCTTTTATGACTCTGTTCCAGTTCTTTCCTCTGCCCACTGTTAAAATTTACATGCCCTGCCAACCCAGTGAGGCTGGAGATCTCTACTCACTGACTAGTTCAACTAATGTTAAACTAGTTAATCCTAAACAATTTAATGTGCAGGAAGAGGTTAACTCCTTAGTTTAAGCCCTGGGAAGAAGGAAATAAAGTTGCCAAAGGTTAAGAAGGAAAGACAACTTGCTTCCTGATCACTCCTCTCCCAGACCCTGCAGAGGCTCAGGACGCACCCTGTAGATTTCCTCGAGCAGCAGCCTGGCACAGTTCCTGCCAAGGTCCTCTGGAAGCACTGCTGTTCCCTGGCCCTGGGGGTTGGAGGCCAGCTCAGCACTGAGGAAGGTGCCATTGGTGGTCTCAGCAACCAGTGACAACCCAAAGCCTGGAGACCTGGGGATGCAAAGCAAAAAGACGCTGAGCAGATTAATGAAATGGGGTTTATACTCACCAGCAAAAAGCAAAAAAAGACACACACTTTTTTGACAGCACTGTGTTCTAAAGGTTCCTTCTGGCTGAACCTCATAGCACTGCGATTAGCTTACACTGCAGATACACTTAGTGAGGGCCTTAGTGAGGGCACACAGGCATGAACAAGAGAGAGATGAGTTCAAATTGCTTTCCCTCTTAGCTGTCCTTCCCCTACTGCCTACACTGTAAAAGGTCATACTGTGAGAATTTTAACAATCAATAATATAACATAACATGAAAAATGGCTACCACATACTGAGCACCTACTTCCTGCCAATTCCTGAACTAGGGAATTTTGCAAATAGTAGGTGTGATACTATAGCTCTGCAGACTGGACATCACTGTCTCTATTTGACAAATGAGGGAATGAAGCAACCTGCACCAGGTCCGAACAGCTAGAAATTGAGCTTCGAACAGATTTTTCAGGTCCCAAACCCCACCCCAGTTCCCCAAAACACCACTACGTCAACCCTCAGCTGGGCACCAACTCAGAGGTACAAGAGGCCTGGAAACCACCTGACCAAAACTTCCTGAGAAACATCAGGCTTCCTACCACCCCCCAATAAGGAAAAACACCACACAAGCCAGAAAGGGACTAGAAAGGGCATATCTTCATGTTTTTGTCTTCAAGGGACATCTCCAGACTTAATAGCACAATTATATAATTGATGAACTGGCACCATATTCTCTCCTATTGTGTTTCTACCACCCAACAGCCAGAACCTAACACCCTTCTCATCTAGGACCGTCACTGACACATCTGTTTATACAGCCAGCACACGCCTGGGAGATGCCTTGTGAACAAGGGGCACCACAGTAAACACCAGAGCTCCCGATCTCACAGAGTCTGGTGACAACAGAAAATCAGTCCACGAACAATAAAAGACAAACACTTTTCCATAAAATTTCAAACTTTAACACTTCAAATCTACTTTGCCCAATGGCTTTTTTTTTGAATTTATTAACAGTTTATTTATCACTCATATTCATAGCTCAGGAACACAGGTCAGTGACAAATGTCTATGTAAATCAGCCCAAAGAAATTCTGTATATTTCAAAATTATTTTACACTCTGAAAGACACCAGCCTTCCTCATCTCCTCAAAATCTTTCATAGAATCATAATTTCTGTAGAAATCTGCATATGCCTTCTTTCTTGGTTCAGCCACAGCAAACTTA